TGCAACATCACTAGTACTGTTAGAGCACAACTTTCTGTATACTGATATTATACGTGCAATAACAAGTATGCATTGCTAATGAAGCCTCTGAATGGTAACAAACACAAATTTCTACTTTTGGTCCTAATCCTGAAGACATTTCTAAAATTTACCTTCTCCTCAAACCTCTCACTGGCCCTGTGTCTAAAAGATTTCACCTCTGAGCCACTTCTGATGTATTTCTTCCAGATATACTGCACTGAGGAAAAGCACTATCAGCTTAGCCTTTGCTTACTCTCCCAATACAAACATAGAGCTTATGACAGAGTTTCATGAGATTGATTCACCCTCAGTTTACAACTCAAGCAAGAATTTACAGTCCATCTATAAACACATAGAGGTGGAGAAAGAGAGGCAGAGGAGGAGCCATAGCACAGAAGGATATGAGAAAGCTAAATTAACAATGCCCATCCTACAGTGTTCGAAAACAGGGTCACTGGAAAGACAACCGCACGGTTTTGGCCCTAAAATGATGACAGTAGTAACAATTACTGCTTCCCATACTCCTCACTCATCACCTCCCATATTCTTCTCTTTGTAATGCGCTACCTGTGGAATCACCTTCCTTTTGCATTCCCCCAAGCTATGACAAACTTACACCCCTGCCATGAAGTCCTTGCTGAGTATTCCTTATAAAAACATCAGGCTGATGACCAAAGGAAATACAATCGCTACTCAAAAAAAAAAAAAAAAAAGAAATATCCTGCCAATCATTGAGTCGTTTCTCACAAGAGGTCGCAATACCCCATAAGCTCATGCTTAGCCCCTGAGCAGCCCTTCCAAAGTTGAGTTACAAAACCATGAACGCCCTCACTGAACTGGAACCTTGGACTAAGCAGTATCTGGGCCATCGAGATTGTTTTGTTTTTTCCTTTTTGCATCTTGTTCAAAACAACACAATAATGGTGTTTAATAAATAAATAATAAACAACAGCGGCATATCAACATTTCCTTTTAAATTAGGCTGAAAAGGAGGAGGTCAACAGCAGCCCACCACATCTGCATATGTTATATTCCTTTACCAATCTACTACTTCTCACTGGCAAGAGGGGAGGAAGCAGAATTCAAAGTGAACATAATTTTGTGTGACTGATTTAGCATGTATGAATACAAGTGACAACTGCCCTGGTTTTCACTCCAATGGAAAACCCAGGAGCATCACAGCAGAGATGTACTTGTATGTGAACAGGTGGGCTTGTTTGTCAAGCGCTGGGGTACAGCTAGACATTGAGAAGCAGAAGTGTAAAAAGTAACCTCACAGGGTCTGTGTCAATCGTCTCTCAAAGGGTTTCACATCAACTGTGCTCAGTTAACACAGAAAAGATGTTCACTTGTTTGGTTGGTTGTTGTTTGTTTTGTAACTGCCAGCCTGAGAAACGGGAGATGAATAACCTTCCAGTAGAAAGAAGGAAACATTTTTGTAGCAATGTTCCTTCTCCCCATATACCTTCATAGCGTGCTATATGCAGATATTCTGTGTGTGATACGTATGAAATACATATTACAGCTTGGTTTATGAAATTGCTTTTTATGGCTCCCAGATCTTCAGCAAATGTACAAATAAATATGAAAGAGAGAGGGAATAAGATGCACATGCACAAAGCAAAGCAAACACCAAAATGAGATAGCAGCAGTCTGCTAACTGGATGGTGAGAGCCAAAATCATAAGCATCCAGTTATTTTAGAAACCCTTGCCAATAGACTAAATAGAATACCGTAGGCCAGGTGTCAGTGATTATAATCCCACTGATGCCAAGAGAGTTGCTCCCATTTACAGCAAGCCTGACTCTGGCGCTCTCTCTGTAGTACAAGAAATAATTCATAAAGCATGGATTTGAAAAAGCAGCCATACAAACCGGACCTGCAACTCCCTTACTTGCAGTGTAAGGACCCTACGCCTCTCCTACGCCTCTGTTGATTTGTTATATGCTAGAAATCTCGCCGAACTTAAAACAACAACAAACACCGCCCCTGCTCACGTGCGTAGCTGCTGTGAAAAAAAGAACCTGCATAAATACCTAAGCGTGCTATTTCAAGGCCAGTTCTGCCATGGAAAACAAGTGGCTTATGGATGAGATGAGCTGGATACTTCTAAAAACAAAATCGTAACTGTGAACGTAATAGGCATGCTCACACGACCTTAGGCCACACTCAGAAACCATTCATTATCACCCAACTACCGGCAACAGAGTATGCTCAGGCATCTTTCCCAAGTTAAAACAGAACTAAGCCATCATTTCTTTCCTGAAAGACACACAATTTTTGGACACCTTAGCTGCTTACAGGTGAGTGTGGGAGTAGACATGTGAAAGCAGACAATCATTTGAAAAATATTACTTAAAAAAATAAAATCAATAAACTCGTAAGCAATGAATTCTGAAAGCCCGCCTGCCTTCATTGTGATAACCAGACACTCTTCTCCCCTCTAAGTGGTCCTTTTTTGGGAGAAACCTCAGTCTGAGCACAGTGAATATGATCGACAGGAGGATGGGCCTGCGCTATGTCTCACTTGTACAAAATAACAGTTTTCCCACAAGTATGTACATCTGGGTAAATCAGTAAATAATGAGATGTTCCATTTTCTTTTTTCCCCAAACATAAAACCTTTCCACTGCTGAAGACACTACAAGGATTTTTTTTCTTACCATTTTTAAGTACTGAACAGCGCATATCTATCCTTTTACAAGTGGAACCTTGTAGCTATGGAGACGAAGAATGTTAAATCCAAGCTGAAGATAGTATTTCAGTGGGGGCTTATGGTTGCTACATGTGCCTTCAATGTTCTGCTGTTTTCTGTCTCCTGAAGTCTTCTGTACTAATGGCCAATGCATACTAAATCACCACGCAAGTACAGAGTGTACTTTCTACCAGTCACAGCCTGGGACAGCACTATCATGTTCAGTACAGTCTTACTGATTTACACCATAACCAAGAATCCCACAGACAACACGATAAACAGCTTGAGTTCTGCAAAGCTGTGCACCAGCTTAACTTAACCTGAACAGAGTAGCAGAATAAAATTCTTCTGGTACTGCGATAGGACATGGAAACCGGGCGAAGTGGGGTCCCCTTGTGTTTAATGCTGTGTGTAACAACTGACATCAACATAAAGAAATTATGCCACATTGACCTTCTGTTACTAGACCTGGTAGGACTCTTCAACTTTTTATTTATCTGCCACAATCCAAATTATCTGAATTTCAGTCTCCCAAACAACATCACATATTCCCTATCTTCTGTGCACTACGATCATGATCCAAATTCCATTACAGATTATGGTTTCATTACATGGATTTTCAGTTATGGTGTGCAGATTCAGCTGTCTTCCATATCATCTTGGTGTAAATTAAACAGCATTTTATTCAAGCTAATGAAACTTCAACGGTGTTAAACTTGAGCATGAAGAGGAGACAGCCTTTCAGGTCAAATTAATGCTCCTTGTGACAGCCAGTGAAAATTCAAAATAACTTTGTTAGCATCACTTACTTTCTACTTGTGCTGCTAACAGGGGAAAAGAAAAAAAAAAACCACACCTTCATTCACATGATACTGGTAGAAATGGCAAGGATATGACAGGTGGTTTTCTTTTTTTGAAGACAACACTGCTCCAGAGAAAGCAACCCCAAAACGTACACTGTGTTGTTTTTTTTTTCCTTCCCCTTAGCTCCGTGGTCCAAAATCAGCTAGGTATTTCAGGTGCCAAATATGAAACATCTTAAAGATGCCCTATTGTCAGAAAGTGAAAACATCCGCTTTTAAAAAATCAGGATCCTAGAGCTGCAGCCTGCTCAACGCTGCTCATCTTTAACACACCTTTCATACTACCTGGCTGTCAAAGACTTTGGTCAAAATTTACCATAGTCAAACCCAATTTGCATAAATGGATATGAATAAATTTCAACAGGCACATTAAGCACTCTCAGGTAGGATGTCCACAACCAAGGAAGCAAAATCAACCATGGTCCCCTAATACCATATCACGTGCAGGATTAAGTAACGAGTACTGAAATGTAACTGCGCAAATCCTCCTCACCAGGTATAAATAAGCAATGGCATTCACAAGTAAAAACATTTCTTATATACACATTAATAGAGTCATTGACAATACAGCAAAGAAAAAATACAGTATTTTCTTGCCAAAGCTGAACAACAGACAAAAGAAGCACTGAGAGCTTTTCCTATTTGTATTTCCCATGTTGCTGAGTCAAAATCACAGCACGGCCTTAAGCGCATGAAATTATTAACTCCAGTAGAGTTGTCTCTCAAGCTAAGCCTTCACCGATCACTAAAAAGAAATAAAAAAACCCACAAGAATCCCCCTCTCCCAACCCAGATATTTGCAAATGTACTGTTTGACTTGGGGCCTTTACAAGGCTCGAGTTCAGAAGAGCTAGTAAGGCAGCTTGTGTGCTCCTGCTTCTCCAGGAAAACAAGTGCGTGCTTAACTCTAAGGATGTGCTGCAGTCCTGTCGTCCCCTGGTTTACTTCTGAACCAGACAGGAAATGCAGAAAATCTTTGGCGTTATCTTTAAATAGGCCACGAAGCCCTCAAGGTTTGACGTGGGGTGTGGAGTAAACAGGTTTCCATATTTATTTTTAAAACAGAAAAGGTTCTTAAACTCCTCTGTTTCTACCAATACATTAAAAATGGGACTCTCTTGTAGCCACTGCTAACAAAATGGGTGCAAATAGGAGGAGAATAACACACCAGATGCCTTTACCATAGGTTTTTACTTCAACTTAATCTGTGTTTTTTTTTTTGTAAGTCTGAATTAATCAAAATAATCACCATCACTTCCCTGACTGTTGTTATTTAATGAGATAACCTTTCATACTGAGCAAACCCAAAAGCAAAAAAATCTCATTAATCTTTCTAGTGTTTAGAGACACCTCAAGAGCTTCAAACATTTACCTCTCCTTCCCAGCAGCTGAAATGGTTTTAGGAGGATCATGGTTCATACCTCACATTCCCTGGAGCCAGAGATGGTATACGTGCAGGGCCCAGATCCATTAACCGATACATCCATGGTCTCAGAGTTTGTTGGCTTGTAGTCCACGTAATACTCCTGTAAAGGGGAGTTCATTTGCCTTTCAGACTCTCGGGCCTTTTTCCTGCGCCTCTTCATGAGAGAGTGCTGCTGGAGCTGTTTCATGCTGGCTGGATAGCGCTTCCACGACACGTAGATAACCAACAAAATCATGGCCACAGAAAGAAAGAGGGCCACGCTCCCAGCGATTATTTTGTGAAAGGAAACGTGCTCATACTCTGGTTCCACTCCAGGTGTTGGGAGGTCTGCAGAAGGGCTTGGCATAGCAGATGTTGGCTGATTGCTTTCGAGTTTGGAAATGGTAGGTTTAGGAATGAAGACAGGTCTCGGGGGGGTTTTGGGTGCCTGGTATGATCTTTCAGTAACCACCACCTGAATTTCAGCACAGATATTGTATGTTTCCACAGCATCGCTCACTTTTTCACCCTGGATATGTTTAGGGCCTGCACATATCATAGTGCTTTCTTTATTTCCCTTGAAATTCTTAAGCCAAGTAAACAGGGGGCAAATGCTTCGAGTACATTCCCACATATTTCCGGACAGAGTGATGGAGATGAGCGAGATCCATGTATTGATGGTCTCCTGAGAGATGTTGGTGAGTTTGTTGGAATCCAGGTTCAGCTTTTGCAAGTTGGGGAGGCACTGGAAGGTCCCAGGCTCTATCCCTGTAATGTCATTTCCTGATAAATCCAAGTTGTGCAAGGAACTCCAAGTCCACGTCAACCCTTGGCTAATAGACCGGATCCTATTCCACTGCAAATAAATCGAGCGAAGGTTGAAGAGGCGTGGAAAGTGGGCAAAATTGATCTTAGAAAACTGGTTGTGCTCCAAGTGGAGCTCTGTCAACTTCAAAAGGCCAGCGAAAGCATTACGGGATAAGCTCCGCAGGCGGTTGTAGCCCAAATCCAGAAAGTCAAGGTTTCGGCAGTCTTGGAAAACTCGGATCGGCACAGTTTTCAGCGAGTTAGACCGCAAATGCAAGATCAAGAGTTTACGAAGGCCCTTGAACTGCTCAGACTGCAAAACCTGCAACTTGTTGTAAGAGAGGTCCAGATTGCGGAGGTTGGGGACTGGGTGAAATGTTTTGTTGTGCAGATGGGTAATTTTGTTGGAGCTTAGAATTAATTCCTTCAGCCTGCGGATCCCCTGAAATGCATCCTCATCCACAGAGCTGATGTAATTATGGTCAAGATAAAGCCATATGAGCTGATTCAGGCCCGCAAACTGATTTGATTTAAGCTTCTGAATGCTGTTGTACCGTAACGATAAGCCTTGAGACCCTCCAGAAATATTCTGAGGGATGTCTCTGAATGCATGAGATTCACAGTACACAATCTTGCCATCGCATCTGCAGTTCTTGGGGCAAGCTCGCTGAGCCCCCGCAAGCATAACAAACAGCACCATAGGAAGTAGCACTAACACCACACTCATGCCTCTCAGCTGCTTAATTAAATGGAAACCTACAATATTAAAAAGAAAACAAATGTGCATTGGAAAGCTATTAAAATAAATTGCCAAGAGATTACTAACGTCAATGGGGTTTCTAATAAAGCATTAGTGAAGCAGTGGATTTTGAAGACAACCTGTTTGCCTCCCATCTTGCACTTTTTGTTGTGTAAATGCCTGTCCTTTGAGTTTCTGGCTTGCCATCTCCCCTACCCGCACCATCACCAGTACTACTCTCGTTATTATCACTTTTGTGTGATTTATGATCCCTTAGAAGGACCAAGAGCCTGTTCTCTATTTGCTTTTCTCCTGTACATCATCTCTCAATGTAGCTGGTATATCCTCATCACTAGATGCTGAGGTTTTAACAATAAACATATTTGTCAAGTCACTGTGCTGAATGCTCCATAGTGCTGGAAAGGAAATGAGCCAAAGCTTCTGGTATTTACGTGCTGCTAAACGTGTTCTTTAATAAAAGCAATTGCAAGTCCAATTCCTCCAAAAATTACTGCAAAAAGTGAGAAATCTACTTATCATAAAGTTTGATCCATCTTTAAAATATGTATTTATTGTAAAATTAAACAGTAAGTAAAGGCTTTACTTTCTGCATCAAGTGATTTGTTTTTAAGAGTAGGTTTACTCATTATTTTTATGTACCTAAAATATATAAATAGATGCACAGAAACAAAGTACAACTATATAGAGAAGTATACCATATAACGCTAGTATGGGACCTCAATACCAAGATAATGGTAGAAGACATATTTCTTTAAAATAAATCATAGTCTTAACACATATTAAAGTTATCTACATGTAGGTGTGAATACCTAAGCATTTATTATTTCGTATAAACATTATATACTCTATGAAAATATACACACAAATACTTACATATAAACACTGCCTTAGGAGCAGCAAAACACAGAAAGTTTAAAGGGGTATATTTCTGTTTCAACTCCCCTCTCTCTTCCACAGCAATATTGATTTTAAGATTTTGCATTTGAGATGTCAACTTTACCATATAGTAGCAATGCTGTTACGTGAAGATAGTCACATTTTCCACATTCTTCGAATAATTATGAAAGGGGGTGGAGGGGTTGTCAGAAAATCCAACATACATACGCACGCTTTCCTTAGCCTGTAATAATTTTAGGACCGGTGCCTCTGTCCAGAGTTGCAATCTTGCTAAGAATTAAAATGCATTCTTCCAACAGGGAATATTTTAAGGGCCGGTATCTCCTCGATAAATAATTACTTTATTATTTGTCACACACACAAAACCAACCCTGTGCTGCAGTTATTTAATCCAATTTTAAACCAATGTGCGATCTGCAAAATAATTCCTAATCTAAAATGCCCCTGACTATGTGTCTCTGCCTTTCACTTTAACGATTAGATTTTTAATTTAAATCCTCATCTTTTGCTACTGCCTATGTGCCAGCAGCAGCCAGCTAGAAATATGTTCTGGCTGTTACAGACTTGGGGGCTGGGGGGAAGGAGGGAGGGAAATAAACCTGTCACACTTGAAAAAATAAGACTGGCAAATGACTGCTGGAAATGTAGCAGCAATATTAGGGGTATCTTTTCAAAGACCAAACAAGCCTTTTCAAAACCACCTATACAACAAAATCACCCCCTCCCCTTTGCTTCCCACATACTGCAAAGTGTTAACAGTCCTTTCTGACAGCCTGAATAATACCACTACAGGCTCATCGAATATGAATATAAACCCAGAAGAAATTTGGTATGAGCGTGCCTCATGCATACATGTACTTATCTATACGTGTGCAGGTGCGTGGGTGGGTTGTACAGACAGCGAACGTACTCTCCACAGTCCTTAACTCGGTGCAGGCATTTACAGATTAATTACATATAAAACCACTGCAGGAGGAAAGGTGTGTATGTGCGTGGGGGGGGGAATACATGATCTAAAAATACAATAGCAAGTACAGTGAGTCACCTGGCAAAGGAATGCACTGCTGCTGTTTAGACTGTTTCCCCCTCTTGAACAGCTAATAATCCAACTGAAAAAATATACCATACAGCTGCAGCTGTGCTAACAAACAAGAAAAGTTCACTTACCCATCCTTTTGTCATCAACAAACGTCCTCCTTTTCCTTTCTCCAGCTGTTTTCTTCTCTCTCTTTCCTTTTTTGCTTTCCCTTTGCCTCTCTCGCTCTCTTTTTAAAACTGGTCTCTTTTCTTTAAACCATCAGAATCTTCATGTCACAGCACGGTTGCCACTCACATCACCGCCATCCAGCGTGCATGCCAGTAACCCACACAAAGTTCCCTAGAGAGGACAAGCAAGAATTTTGGGGATGAGGAAGGGAAAGGATAGGGAAGGGGTTGGGGGTGGGGAAGACAGGACGAAGGATGGGGGGAGTGTGTGGGGGGGTAGGGAGGGACTCTAAGCTCTGAGAGCCGTTGTGTAAGTCATCAGAGAACCATCGGCATTAAGTGGCAATCAGCAAGTAAAAGCTATAGCAGACCACGAAGGTAAACCAACTTCTCTGGGAGAAATAAAAAAATCTTTCCCGGTACCTAGCATTTCTCATTCTGCTGCCTTTTGCCATTCCCAGACACAGCAATCCATCCTCCAGCTTCCCAGTTCCCGAAGCAGGCAGGCCTCCTGTGCTGTGTAAGACCCCAGTTTAAAAGCTACGCAGGATAGGTTTATCCATTTAGCTGGTCAGGTTTAAAGTGTTTTGTAGCTGTGCTGAGAGGCAGCTCTTGTCTAATTCAGAAGGCTTTCCAGAGAGTGATGATGCTTTGGAGCTTGTTGGTGCTAATGTTCTAGTTTGTGATACACTGAGTGCCCTCCACTGGAGAAAACAGATCGCACATTAAAGGCATGAACAAGTGATCCTGTCATTGCTATGCAGACTTTCTTCCTTCAGAAAAGAAAATTAAAGACACAGTATTGCCTTGCCCACCGTCATCCCTCCCCCGACCCCTTTGCCTTCCCTAGATTATTAAATGTTTATATTGTGGATTTTCTGGCAGCCAGTGTAAAACACTGAATAAAACACCTGTTCCCTGGGTATTTGGCAACCTGATCTTTTCCTAATCCACCTGACCTGTATATTTTTCTTGGGCAAATTCTAAACTGTTTTTATTTTCCCCGTATTCACAGGGTGAGAGTAGCGAAAGGAATGTTTGCAGATTAAAAGTGAAAGTTGTGTAAAGGCATTTAATTGCATGCACCAAATCCAAATGTAAACATACTGAAAACAGCTTGCTGCCTCTTTTTTAATCTAAGTGCTTTTTAGTCAGAAAAATACCGAGTTTGAGAAACAATGCAGAACTGAAGCTGCAGAATTAGTGACACGTTTTTTCTTCTAAACTCCTCTTCTCCCCCAGCTCTCCCCCATTCAGAAGCGGTGACTTCTCGCAGCTAAGAGTGCTGGTCTGGATTTCAGCAGGCTTCAGCCACAGACCTTGCGGTGTGATCTAGGGTATGACACTTCTACAGTGTTTCACCTCCTGCTACTTGTCTGGCTAGCTTACTAGGGCTTGAATTAATTCTCACCCAGTTCAATAGAAAGATGTCAAAGGGATTTGGAGCAAGTGCAGTACCACACAGAGCTCCTTTGAGTTAGTTCTGGTTAGCCCTATTAACCAGAAGCAGCAGAAAATATAAGCCGCAGCGGAGCCCCACACAAACACAAACATACCATTTTTGGTTTCAAAGCAAACTCAGGCTTCTCAGAGGGCAGCACTGTACTGTACTTTAACATTTTTAACCTGGGTTCCTAAAGCTTGTATTATCTGTGCTGTCTGTCCAGCTGCTCCCTCCTCTCCCTGTGCTACACGGACATCAGGTATTTTGAAAACAATTCCCTGCCCAAATCATGAGTTTAGATGCCAAAATGGTGGAAGCACTTTTTATAAAGTCTGTCATGATGTCTAACCATTATGTGTTACTTATTTTTTAAAATATTTTTTAAATATTTCCCCTTATGACTAAAGAGCACCTTGCTTAGCAATTTACAGCCCACATCTCTTGAGGTTTCTGTGTACTACTCCTCATAATTCCACTACTGTAACAAAAATGAAAATTGCATGAAACTCAAGGCCAGATTCTGAGTTCTTTTATTTTAGTTCCTTATTCCTGGCTCAGATAAAAAGACCACTGCTTGCCCCTGCAATCTATTCCAAATGAAGTCACCCCTGCCCAGCCCCAGGACCTGGTCCCCTCTCCAGGATCTCCATCGGAGCAAAAAGGTTGGGACACAGAATGGGCAAAGTAGTTCAACTCCATTTAAAAAAAAAAAAAAAAAATAAAATAAATCCACAAAACAATCCATAGAAGGAAACTTTTCGTCCCCTATATCTGCATCCAGACTACACATCTCAAAGCTTCTGAATAAAAAAATCTGGTTTTGTTTGTCCTAAGAAATTATTGCTATCTATGGATGAAAGATTGATTTCTGTATGAAACATCATAATTAATCACTATTTTTACTCTGAATTGGCCAGCAATACACACCTCCCTCAAACAAGATTCAGAACTTACTTATCATAAATGATGTTGAAAGTACTTTTTTTCCATATCTCTATTAACTACGTCTGCATTACAGTCAGTATCATTTTAGCTAACATTCATATTTATTCATGATATAATTTCCTAATAAAGGTAAAAGCTAAAGTGTGCAGTTAGTAGACCTTGTATTGATAATTCTCCAGGAAGAGTCCATTTGAAACTCTGCCAGATCTGAGAGTGAACTGAGGAGAGTGATGTCTAAAGAAACTGTACCGATTTTCAGGGGATGTCTTTTCCTGGATCCTTTGATCCTACGAGAGCTGAAGCAGCATCGTCATAAGCTGTCCTACTGCCATATACTTACTGAGACTAAAAAAACCCCACATTGCTACAAAAAGTTTTAAATAATTTTGTTTTCATAAAATCCTGTGATACTGTAATGGAAAATTTCTCAAATTCCAAACCAGAAAACTTTAGTACCTGAGCTAAAACCAAGCAAGTTTTCACTCAACAGCATAAATGCCACACAAACCCTCTTTTTTTTTTTTTCTTAATTTTCTGATCAAATAGAAAAAACCACCACATTTGAACATTTGCTACAGAGAAAGAAATGGGAAAGTTTTAATCAGTCTAAATAAGTGACTCTAAAAGGTAAAAAAAAAACTCATAGAAGAAGGAAGGATGAAAACGCCTGTTTGTGGTTTTGTTCTATTTCTTTAGAGCAGCAAGAGGTACAAGATCTCTGCACGCAGCTGAAACCTGAAATGTTCTAAGTGCTCAGTTGATCCTCGTCCAACTGGCAAAGTCTCCTGCCACCTGACCAAGAGTTACCTAGATAAACTACCCATGCTAAGAAGTTTGTGTCATGGGATCTATAGTTTCTCTTCCAGGACAATGGATCTGTACATGTCTAATTAAGTTTTTGATCAATACTAACAGTTGTGATTTTTTTTTTTATGTATATAGCAAGTGTATATATATACACACCATCAAGCATGCTTGGAATTTTAGATTTTTTTTTATGTATATATCAAGTGTATATATATACACACCATCAGGCATGCTTGGAATTTTAGCCTTGAGCCTTTCAGCCTACCAATTTGTTTCCATGCACAAATACTTAAAATTAACAACAACAGTAACTAATATTTACATAGTACGCTGACTTTTCAAAATGTACCAACACCAACAGCCCTCACAACATGCCTGTAAGGAAGAGAAGAACATATCTATACTTTCTTGTAGTACCAGCTATTCAGTTACTGGAGATTTACAGCCCTGAATAACTTCTCCTAGTAGCATCAGCGATAGAACTACTGCTGAAGGGAAATGAGCTAGTGCTCTGTGGCCAATTTCTTACTTTCTATCTGTGGAGACCTCTAAGGTTTGCACTGCTCCTGCAGAGTCTATTCAAAATACTCCTTAGTGAGAAAGACACGAGAAAAATAAGCAAACTTCAGAGGTGCTTGGGCCTGTTCATGGTATTGCCGGATCCAAGTTTACAAAGCTCGTGACTCAGGCAGCAAATAGCACCTTCTATTCCCCCTTGATCTACTCAGCCATTAGGTTGCATTTGAGTTGCATTTTCAAGGCTTTACAAAATCATTTAGACTTCTTGGATAGATTTAGAGGTTTCAGGCGCAAAAAGACCAGTTACAGTTGTCCGGACAGAATATAAAACAGGAATCTTCCCCACAATATTTCCACAACAGACCCATAATTTCTGCAATGACATCCACTTCATAAAGATGAGTGGCCTTTATTTGAAATCCACAAAGGATCGAAGAGCCACCCAAATCCTGTGCAAGTTGCTGCTGTATATAACAATCTGCACTACTAAAGAGTTTTAAGAGTCAGAGCTCTTTGGAAGAGTCTGTGTTCAGCATCAGCCCTGCATCAGTCGCAGCAGTCACACATAAGCCTTTGCTCCCAACACCTCCTTTTTTATCAGGTGCTAATGTAACCTGCCGATGTGGAGGATAGATCCTCCGATGTGCAACCAAAGACACAACCCTGATACAGCCTCTAACTAAAGAATTTTTGCTCTTTAGTATAACTACAAAGGTTGATATGACTCAAAGTGCAGAATCAGATCATCTCAGCCGTGGTGATCCCAACTTCAGCCTCTGCATCTCATCCAAGATGGCAGATAACACTCCAGGAAAAGCTAGACTCTACACTACCCCAAATACTGGTTTTAGATGCTCTCAAGCTTTTTTTTCAAACCATTATTCTCACAGGCATATCATCTTCACGAAGATGCATTTCCTCTTCATTTAATTAAGATTTTATTTAAATTTTTCTCAGACATCTAATAATTATTTTCATTTATAAATTTATCTGCTTAGTGACAAATGTCTAATCTCAGCTCTAATTGCTTTTAAGGCATCTAACAGCCTTAGCAAACCCAATCAAAAAATAAACAGGCAGCCCAACAATACAGATATTTCATATCCTAAGATTAACTAAGACATAACTCCTCCTCAAATGCAAGCTCTGCTTTTCTATCCAAATGCCAATTCCTTAGTTCATACCTCTAACAAACAGTTTGCAGGATCATACATCAGGATTTGCTGGCAGCATGATATAGCCAAAAGATACTTAAGATGT